CATGCGATATGCTCCGATGTTGAAATGACTGGTTTGTTTTTCACGGTTGCGTATGGCTTGTATGTTCCCGGGAATGTTCCGGTTTGCATATTCGCAGGAGCTCAATCGTTCTCACTGTATCACGGTGTTACTGGCATGCATGTGGTCTTTGTGATTTCGCTCCCGCAATACACCAGTAATGGGCCTTGTGCGGCGTGGCACGAGCTGAACAATAACAGACGTGGAACTCCAGTCGCTATAGAGATTATAGGTGATGCCAAAAAGCAGTCTAAACCAAGCAATTATGCAGCTTCTCACAAATAGGATTGCTTGAAAATTGACTGGCGGTGGGACCTTTTGGATCGACTAAGTCGATCAAGTTACAGTGATATTGGCGACTATAAAAAGGATTGCGAACAGCAGAAATATTTTTGGGTTGGATGCTGGCTGTAATTGTTGTTATTGGTTGTAATGACGGTTACTCGATCCACGCGTGCAATGAACAGAACTACGCGTGTAACTTTAACGGCCCAATCGTCGGTGTGGAGAACGTCGCTCCTGCCTGGTCTACTGCTGGACGGCTAACGAGCTGAATAGTGTTGACGTTTTCGGTGTTCTGACCAGTATATTGGTCTACACCGTGCACTGCTGGTATCATGTCTTCGTCTGCTGTGGCTACTGACATCTCATGTCTAAAACATGCTGTCTGCTTGCGGTGCGGAGGTTATAGTGACTGCTGTTTTCCCAACTGCATTCCAAATTGTTTAAGGTTTGCACATTAAAGCTTAACAACTTACCTAAAAAGTGGGTTTACACCATATTTCAGATTTAGGGGGCGGGGGGCACGCCAGGACGAATCACAGTGCGTTCGACGCGAATGTGTCTTCGATGGTTCTTGGACTACATCCAGTGGCATAGTCAGGACTTCGTCCGGGCACACGGAACCCGTTCAACCAAGGGGCTTTACTTACTCGCTAAAAGACCCTGTTAGGCATTCGGGGACCTTCTAGGATCGTGGTATTATTTTGATGCATTGCCGACCCGGGCTCATGTTTTGCCCTCTGTCCCGGCTCGCCATCTCCAGCGGGTGGGGTGGAGCACGCTCCCCCCCCCCTCCCATGAGCACGCCACTGGCTATATTCTGTAACCGACACAGGAGCCTCTCATTCTGTCACTGACCTCAAACATTGCAAATCACGGGTCCCAGCCTTGCTCCTGTTTGAGAAATGGGTCTCCGGGTTTCAGACCGACACAGAGCCGACTGCTTAGCCGCGTGTTAAGGTCATGTAGAAAAGGAAAAGAAGACCCTTATAAGAGGGACCTTAGCGAGGCTCTCTGTGACTGACGCAGGGGGCATGTCCCTCCCCCTGTGTCGGTCACTTACATTTCAGGTCACGGTACTGCGTGCAGAGGGTCAGGCACGGGTCCAATCGTTCCCCACGGGTCGGACCGACACAGACCCGACTGTACGGTGTTGGTGTCTCTGGCCGAAATCGAGGCCCACACTGTCCCAGCGGTCCCCAATCGGTGCAAGAGGCCCTCTGACTGATACTTCATGGCACAGCCCTATGGACTGGGATCCTTATGTGAAGCACAGCCTTGACAGATAGTAGGGAGGGTAGGAAACCGGGACAGACGGAAGAAATGCTTTTTTGGCTGTTTAAAGCGCCTATAAACTGCATTTAAGACGAGGAGCTTCCAAAACATGACACCGGGTCGGCAATACATCAAAATAGCACCACGGTCCTAGGAGGTCTCCGAATGCCTAACAGGGTCCTTCAGTGATTAAGTGAGGCCCCTTGGTTGAACGGGTTCCGTGTGCCTTCGGGTCTGCGCGCCCTGATCGGGCCCTTGATCGTCGGTTCCTGTGGCTGGTTCCGGTGGTTCCGGTCGTGACTGCCCTCGGGGTCACCTTGCGGCCTCTGAGAACACAGCTCTATCGACACGGGGCCTCTTGCCAGCGCACGACTCTTGTAAGCGCACTGTGGGCCTCTGGCAAGTAAGGGCGTCTAGACCAATGTAAATCTCTGGCCCCGGCTCTGTCGCTGCTAGGGAAGTGGGCCCTCCGGCCCATACCGACACAGAGCCGACTGCACAGTACACTGGTAGAGCCTGACCGACACATAGCCCATTGTATCGACCCAGAGGTCCCCGATCGGCGCAAAGGACCATCAAAGGGTCATTTCATGGCCTGTCCCCGCTGAGCCGGACAGTTCCGATCAGCCCTTCGTATCCTTACGCCCTCCGATCTGGCCCTCGATCATTGTTCCCGGTAGGCCCTGCAATCTTTTCGGGCCTCCTCGAGCCCTGCCTCTAGTCGACTCAGGCCCCTTGTCAACACAGGGTTTCCTGTTAAGCACTATGTGTGCGCCCGACAAAGGTCGTGAACCCGATCAATTTAAAACGCTGGTCCCAGCTTTCTTACTCGCTGGTCTCGACGTTGTCCCTGCTTGGGAAGTGGGCCCCAGGCCGATGCCAACAAGGAGATGACCGCACAGCAGCGGTGGTGTCCCATCAACATACTGACCCTTATCGACTCGGCGGCCTGCGATCAACGCAAAAGGGCCCTCTCAAAGCTTGGACCCCTCCCTGGGGTCCAGGGGCCCACCACCCTTGGACCCCAAGACTCCCAAATTTCCGGTTTTCCGGGACCCGGAGACCGTACCCCCGACCCACACAGTATCTCTAGCCATGGGAGGCAGGTAGCATGGCAGGGACAAAGCCAAGGGGGGGGGGGGGTGGGGTGGGAAGTACCCCTTTACGTTCGCATTTTTCGCTGTAGATTTTTCACGACAGGAGCAGTTAAAAAACCGGCGTGATGCCTATACCAAACTCCCCCTCGCTTCATAAAATCATGGCTGGTCGCCTTGACCTTTTAAAAGTAAAAAGTCACTGACCTCGAATGAAAGCTTCACCTTTTGCTTAGAACAGGTATGAAGGTTCACGGCAGCTGCGATAGAAGTTCGGGGTCGCTTTGGACACCAATCTGGAGCTTGAATTTGCGTAACCTGATTTAACCCCAAGGTCATGACTTCGGAAGCTCAAATTTGAGCATGAGTGAGTTCACGTGAATTCACTTGTGAATTTGGTGTGTCTAGCTATCTTATCGAGATCTCGGGGGGGGGGGGGGGGAGGGTTAAATTGACTCTCCACCCGAGCGAAGGGCATTTAACCAGTCACCCGGGCGCGCGTTAAACCAAAAGTAAGGCCGTCAATGCAGATAACTCTCCTGGATGATGCAGACAACTCTCCTCAATACTGGCAACCTCCCATGATTCGGCACGCACGAGACGCAAGAATTGGAGTAAACGCATCGCGGTGACGAACGCGATCTCACCCCGGAGGGGCCCACTCCGGCCCTCCGGACCAAAATGTACATGAACATCATCGACATGAAGTGAAAACAACTTGCCAAGCCCAGCGCACGCCGCCGGACCGCTTCTCAACTTGAAGCAACATTACTCCACCTCTTGAGTGGACAGCTCAGTAAGGACCAGAGAACCGGCATTGTTCCCGGACTAGAACTCACCATTTTCCGTTTGTGACCTTAGTCGGCGCGTTCGCCCGATCCCACTCGATGCATTTGTACCTAAGGGGCGCACCCCTCGGGGTGTGGTGCACACCCGCGAAAACCAAGCTAGCTCGAGTGAGCGTTAGAACTGTCATGCGCGAGATGTCGGAGATCATGCGCTCACGCGACAAGAGGCCAAGAGGCATGCCACGGCGCAGTGAACGGTAAGGAAGGTACTTGGGACACGCGTTCCTGCGGTCACCGATTAAGTGATGGTTCTATAATCTGAATGCGCCACGCTCCAGACAAGCGTGCATTTCTTTCATTTGGTTCATAACTGAAGGAATTGTGGCCGACATAATTGTGGTGCCTACATTTCTGGGGACACCCGGTAACACGTCTGTGCAGACGGATCGCGCGGGACTCGCGCAAAGGCACACGAGTTCCGCAATGTTCGCTCACGCGCCCTGCGCTTAGCGTGCCGCCACTCACGGGTCATGGCCATGGTGAGCACGCCCCACAAGTCCTACTCATCGACAAGTCCAACCAAGAGAACATCGCACGCGAAGGAGACCTCGCGCGTCCTCTCATCCATTACGGCCCCTTCGACTAAGCAGCTGTGTATTGGTGCCATAGCTTGGACGTAAACATGATTGGCGCTCGTCTGACGAATACAGGGGGGCCGACATGGAACCACTGCTACGGAGGTGATCACTAACAAGGTGGCGACCCGACAGGACGACGCGATAAGCAGGGAAAGGTCTAGATATCTGCCACAGGATAACAACACATAACGGAATGCACGCCAGATTAGAACCACAGAACAACCACGCTATTACATCCATGCGCCGCGAAGACGGCCGCGGTCCAGCGCCTCCTCGCGCCGCCCGCGAACAACGCGGCCTGTATCGGCCGGGGCGTTCGCGAGTAGCCACGTGCTCACGGCAGCGCCGGGTTGACATCCCGGCCCGCGCGCGCACCGCTGGACACCCGTGGGAAGCGGCACACCCAGATCTGTTAACGACGCGCGCCGGTCCTGCGCCTACGAGGAATGTCGTGCGGTCCGTGGTGAGATCCACCCCGCGCCCCGACTGACGCTCGGTGCCAGCCTGACGCCAGGCCGGCTTCATGATGATATTGGAATTCTCACCGCCCCCAATATTGAACTAAATGTAGAAAAGACACTTCCGACCATAAGCAGGGTTTTCATAAAGTCATACACGAATCCGGGCACGTGGAGATACACCAGCATTGTCAATACGACCTCTCCCAACGCGAGCCGCAAGCAAAGCTGTCTCGTAGATCGAAGCGACCCAACCGTGCGCATACCGACGCTGTTCCAATTCTGTCATGGGCGCATAACGTCACACCTAACATGCAGCTGTCTCTCAATAAACCAAAAACGGAAGCAAACGCCTCGGACCGGACGGAGCACACGGGAGCCTGTCACCGGTGCCCCCGCCCCCGTCCGCCCGTCCTCGAGCCTGTGCCGGCGCCCCCCCCGGCCGGGACGCCGCCGCCTCTCGGCTCGGTCCTGCGCTGCTGTGTGGCCTGCGGCGCCGCGGACGCGACGCTAGCAGCGGGTCTCGTAGAGCCCACTGCGGCCGATGTAGCGCACCCATTTGATGACGTCATGGTCTGAGTAGTTCAGCTTGGACTCGAACACCTTGAGGTAGCGCACCTTGAAGCCGGACGGCGCGAACGGCACCTGCGGGGAGCGGGGACGTCACCACCGGCGGCACTGAGCCCCGACCTTGAGATAGCGCACCCTGAAACCATACGGAGCGAACGGTACCTGCGGGGAGCGGGGACGTCACCACCGGCGGCACTGAGCCACGGCTGGTGAGGTTCTCGCCAGGGACGACCGGCCAGTGCCGGCTGCAGACATGTCTGAGAGGTACCGCAGCCGCGCCAGCATCGCCGCTAAACACGGGTAAAATCAGGCGACTCACCCCTGGCGTGTACCTGATCTCGCCCGCAGAAGTGTCGGCATCTCCATCAACTAGACGACCCGACAACAGGTTGTTTGCAGCCCAGATCACCGTTGCAGTCTTACCACGAGTCCTTCAGCTTCACACGCTCCAGGTCCCCACTTTTCTCCCTCCATTCACCCCTGCCTCAGTGGCGCCCGTCTGTCGGAGCCGCCGCCAGCAGCCCGGCCTCCCTGTCTGACCGGGCGCGCCCGTCACCCACCACCCGGCCGGCCAGCCCGCTCCCGGGCACGCCTCACCTCGAAGTTCATGGAGATGGGCGGTCGGGTCCACTTCCGCTTGTTGTCGGTCTGCAGCAGCTCCACCTCGGCCGAGATCTGCGATTCCTTCATGCCGCCCATGCGCTTGATCCTGCGGCGGGGCCGGGCGGGACAGGTCCGTCAACGGCGCCGTGCAAGACGCCGGCTCAAGGCGAGAGTCCCTCTCCCTTCCCTGACAAACCACACACGACCGGGCTGCGGAACTTGCTCATGCAAGGTGGCTAGCTGCTGACACATCGCAAAGGTAGCAGCCTCCAGTGAGGCCGACGCATTTTTCCATCAGCGTACTATTAAAACACCAACGAACGACAACGCTGCCAACTCCAGATAACTCGGTGACACGGAGACCGTCGTCCGCTCGCGGTCGGTGCAGCCGCCACCGCACTGGCCGGTCGGGGAGACGTGGGAGACCCTCTCTTCCCGGTCGAGATTGACGCGGCGACTCACTTCCAGACGATGGCGTTCTCCGAGGCCTTGTACTTGGCCTTGCCCTTCATACAGATCAACTGCACGCCGGAGGTGTTGAGCGGCGTCGGGATGCGCACCTCGATCTTCTGCGCCAGCAGCGACGGCTTGAAGCTCGACTTGATCACCACCTGGACACGAGGCCGCGCAGTGTCAGACAAGACGACCGCGCATGGGGAAGGGGGGGGGGGGACGACACTGCAAGAAACACAGCAACAAGTGCTTCTTACTGCCCTCCGCTCCCCATCTCCTCAAAGGCAACCTTTAATCAGTCGCTTT